GCAAGCAATGCGAGGTTGATTTGTTAATATATATAAGCCGTGCGGAAACTATGGTTTCAACTTTCAATGCGTGCCTGTATGAATTGAAATTCTTGATCGCATTTCGTCAACTGTTGCGATGAGCTGTTGGTTTTGGTTGAAGGCGGATAGAGAAATTCTTAGTTACAATTTACAAACATAATTGCTACTACAAACCTACTCATTAAAAAAATTAAACTACATTTAAGTTCCATGGCCGCTGGATTCTAGTGGTCACGGAAGTCACTGCTGTCCTACGGTGTTTCGTTCACTTCCTACCTAATTCTGGCCTTAACTCATCTCCCTATCTATGGTAATTGCACCCCGTAAATATAATTGACTTTAAAATCTAAATTTTTTATTTCAAAGTCAACTAAAATTATGGGATACAATTGACGTGGGTGAGGGATGAGTTAGGGTCGGGACTGGGGGGTTTATTGGGGGTTAGGCGGGGTAGGAATCATCAATTTTACGAACGGAGCACCGTAAGTGTCCGTAGGGGGGCAGTGGCTTCTGTAGCCACTGGAATCCAGTGGCCACCCGGGCCGTTATTTTTAAAACTAATAACTTTACATTATTACTGTACAAAATAATATTTATTCATACATTTTCATCATATTAAAGTTTCCAGAGTTATTCACTCATCGAAGATAGGCCTGGACACAGTTTCGGGTAATAACCTTCATCGGTAGGGGTGGGCAAGGGCCGGTCCGAGCCAAGATTTGTATAAACCAGACTCGACTCGTTTTTTTTAAACGGTCTGGACCGGAACAAGTTTTCAAAATTTTAAAATTGAAACCGGACCTAACCCGGCTTGTTTGAAACGGGCCGATTCCACAGGTCAACGAGTCCGAATCTATCATGATACTAATATTAAAAAAATAAAGGGATAATAAATTAATTTAAGTCACCCAACATAAAAAAAGAGGCGTAAATGAAAATAAAACAATGACAAAGAGGGGCATGAAAGTAAAGTGTACACTCCATGATCATCCAACAACAATAATATAAAAAAGAAGACAACCATATTTTGGTATTATAATGTCAATGGGTTCCAAAAAGAACAAAATTCACAATCTTCATGGGTTCTGACTTTCTGACTATGAAAGATTTTCTTACTTTTCTGCCTGCGATTGGAAGGACCAAAAGATTGAAGGGCTTAGGCGGGTATATTTCCATATATCCATATATTTACTAAAAATAATATTAAAAATAATATTGAGATTTTAAAAAACGGTCCGGTCCGGGTTCAATACAATTTCAAAATGAGGAACCAGACCGACACTAAAATTTGTAAGGAGCGGACCGACCCGGACCGTTTGAAATTTTTGAAAAGAGGACCCGACCCTAACCCGGATCAAACCTAGCGGTCCGGTTCCGACTCCCAGTTCCTGGACCCGATTGCCCACCCCTAGTCATCGGCGCTGGCACCGGCGTTTCTAGAACCAGATCAGAGACGGACACGGTGGACCGGGTAAAGGAACCGGACCCAAGACCGATTGACACGTGTTCGATTCCGAGTTTTATTTGGAGGGTACCGAAATCGGCGGTTCTAATACCTTTTTTTCTTTGACCGTTGCATGGCGCATGTCAGCTGGCAAACGACCATATAGTCATTTCCATGAACTGGGGTAGAGGGTGGGGGTTATCCTATATATACCCATTTATTTTTTTAACAATTTCACAACACAATTTCTCTATCATCTCTCTTAGTCTCTTAATTCTAAAAATCTCTAATATCTCTCTAAATTCTCAACATTCATATTTTTGATGACATCGAAGAGGCGGGGGGAACCAACACCTGAGAGCAATGATCCTTCTAGAGAGGATGATGGGACATGTGAGCACGGGACCTCTTAAGGTCCGGGTAGAGATAAAAAACTTAAGTCTAGTTATTTGTACATCATTTTTTTAAAGATTCAAAAAACAATAGTAATAGGGAAATTTGTAGATATTGTGGGACAGTCCTAAAAATGGCAATTTTTGGAGGTTATGGATCACTGACCAAATACCTTAGAGCAAGACACCCCGTGGAGTACGCCAAAATGATGGCGAAGAAGGATTGAATACAAATCCAAGTTTCTCGTTTTGCAAACAAAGGTAAGATCGGCTTTTTTGCTTATAGCGATAATCAAAATAAGTAAAAAAAATGGTTGAAATGATTTGCGAGAAAAACTTATGATTCATGTTTCTAAAAAACTTGGATTTATTGATTATTGTTAAAGTGTACTAAACCCTTAAGCAAGAGATTTTTCAAGAAAAACAATTAAAAGCGAAATTATTAGACAATATAAAGTTGGAGAAAAAACAATTTGGCTAATCTTTTTCTTACTTTTAATTCCTGTGTTACTATTTGTTCATATTTGGAGTGAAATTTATCATAATTTGTCTTACATGGGTGTTACTTGTCATTACATAGATAATGATTGGATAATGCATAAACGTGTTCTTGCATTTCGTGATTTCAAAAAATCTAACACGAGTGATAATATTATTCTTTGGCGTGAGCGCATTCTGAAAGAATGCAATTCACTTAATAAAGTGTTTGCATTTGGTTTTGATAATGCTACTAATAATACTGCTGCAATTCCTAGACTTAGATAATCTTTTCTTCATAGCAATACTATGGGTAGATTTCTACACCAACGGGTTGTCTGTTATATTTTAAATTTATGTGTTCAACATGGATTAACAACTGTGGGGGATCTTGACCAACAACATTAAATTAAAGGTGGTATGAAAATTAAATTGTGGTAGTCGTCTTCACTCTCATGCATGGAAGTCTTACTGTAAATCTAAAGATAAAAAATCAATAACATTTGTTAAGGTCATTACGATCAGATGGGATAGTATATACAAGTTGATTGAACAGATCCTGCGGTATAAAGATGAACTTTTTTCATGTCTCAGGTATGAACTTAATCATTTTTTTGATTTTAATAAATTTGTTATTGTTGAAAAATAGAATAACGTGTTAGAGGTTTTTAATAATGTCACTCTTACTTTCTCGCATGTTTATAAAACTAATTTTTTTCTAAGTCTATTGCAATTACTACATATTTCCGTGAAAGTTTCTCTAATCCAAATTTGTTCCGTTATGTGTATCTTTTAAAGGATAAATGATGTACTTATTATTTATATATTCCTAATATTTATAAAGTTGGTATTATCTGTGATTCACGCTTTAAGATTGTGAATTTTAAAATTCTTATTGAGTATTATTATAGTTGTTTTTTTAAGATGAAAATAGTTACTTTTATAACCAATTAGTAAAATGGACAAAAGAAAGAGATAATCTTATTGATCTTTTTGAGTCCTTATTTAAAGAATTTCAAGTTACATAAGATACTCCACCAGAAGGAACTCAAGAAACAGCAGCTCCTCATGTCCCAAAGACAACAAAAGGTTTTAAAGGGATAGTCGGTGGTCTTTTGGTGAAAAGAGATAAGCGTAGCGCTTCGTCAATGAGTACATGTGGTACAAGTGTAAGTTCGCAAAACAAACTTGTAATTTACCAAGCCGTTCCATGTGAATATGACAAAGACAACGATATCGAGTTCGACACCCTCGAATTGTGGAAGCGGAATGAACACATGTTCTAGTCACTCGGAATGCTAGCAAGACAAGTGTTATTTATGTCGGATTCAACTATAGTTGTGGAACAAGAGTTCAGTTCTAGCGGCAACATTCTAACCAACTATTTAAGTCGTCTTAACTTTGAATCGCTTGAGATAGTTGTTTGCAATCGAGATTGGCTTTTGGCAAGCATCGAGTACAAGAGGCGGACTACGACATTGATACACAAAATGACATGGATGCAACCACAGAGGGAAGTAATTGTTCCAATGATTAAATTTGTATCTTTTATAAAATGTAATTAGTTTTTTGTTAGGTGAGTATTTTATAACCTCCTTTCTTCACGGTTCTTTACCTCGTCGTTTTTTTGAACCGTTAGAATATTAAATATAGTTATAATATTTTCAACATTCTTCATTTAAATAACAACTACATAATTAGAATTTATATAAACCTATAAATTTCTTTTACATTACATATAATATTATATTATTCATATATTAGAATATTACATTAAAAAAATTGTGAACCAGCCCGAAATCAGAGTCAGAACCACCAGTTCTAGAACCTGCTGGGGAATCGCTTCCTTCGGTGCCAGTTACAGTGCCTTTAGTCGGTGGTGCCGGAACTGTACCGTGTCCAGGTCTAATCCGGGATCAAATACATGACCTAGAAGAGTCATAACGATGTAACTACAAGGTCCTTGGCAAATTAAACAATTTTATATAATATGAAGAGTAAAAATTGATTTTTGTGACAAATCAAAACTTAAACGACTAGGTTCCGTGGCCAGTCGGTTCTAGTAGCCACGGAAACCACTGCCTCATACGGTGCTCCGTTCATAAAATTGATTTTTCTTACCCCTAATCCCCCGGTAAACCCCCCCGCCTAGTCTCGACCCCAACTCATTCCCCCTACGTCAATTGCACCCCGTAAGTATAATTGACTTTAAAGTCTAAACTTTTGACTTCAAAGTCAACTAAATACACTTATTTAGTCAAAACAGTCAAAACATTAAACTCAAATGTTTATTTAGTCAAAACATTAAACTAAATACACTTATTTAGTCTAAAACTTAATACACTTATTTAGTTAAAACATTAAACTAAAATTTCAATCATTTAGATTAATTCTTTTAGAACTACCCTCCAATAATTGAAAAAAAACAGGTCGTACTAAAAATAAATTATACTCTCTTTGTTCTAATAAAATGTTTTTAATTAAAGTAACCCTGTTTTCTTTATTTATTTTCATCCATCATTTGATTAAATAAAATATTCTTATTATATGTAATTTTGTTTGATTTTTGATGTATTTTTTTTAAAAATATTATTATTACATTATTTGTTTTTTTACCAAAAAAAGAGAAAGAAATCAAGCCAAATGACTGAATGAGCCTTGTAGTCCGCGGAAGGGTGGACTCCGATCCCCAACGAAAGGACGAGGAATTATCTGGACTGAGATCTCAGACTTCGGCCTCTCCCGCCAATTCAACCGTATCAATCAAAACTGCTCATATATGGCGACATTCTTCGCGACGACGCCGTCGTATTCTTCCACTCTGCAATTCCTCCGTCCATCTTCACGACGGCTCCCGGTAATTCACTTGCAGAGTTGCAGTTACCCATCTCCTTCTACTCTGACGATTTCTTACGTTTGTCGCCTATTTCTCCTCACAGCGTTATTTGTGGAGTGGAGCTGTTAGGAACGAGAAGTTCAATTCAATTCCTTGTAGAAAATGGGTGAAGTCCCGGAGGTAATAGTTTAAAGATAAAACTTGCGAGTAAAATTGATTATGAAATTGGTTTTTTTTGTAAAATTCGCACTGAATAGGACTAAAACATAAATTATTTCCCAATGTAGGATTTAAAATTTTTTATTCTCTAAATAGTATTTAATAATATCTAGTGAGAAGAATAATGTCCAAGTGATGTTGGACATTTAGTTGAATAATGACTAATAGATAATGACCAATGGTCCTAAAATAAAAACATATGGTCCTATATTGAGAACGTCATTATGTTTTAGTCCTATTTAGGTAAATTACCCTTTTTTTGGTATGATATAATCAGGAGAACTTTGATTTATGCTGTGAATAAAGATGATGAAAGCTCATTCAAGCAGAATGTGGAAATGGATAGGCTTATAGATATGTTAAGAGCTGCAAGTGATAAAGAAGTAAGTCAATGCAGGCCTTTTTTTCTTCAAAAATGTTAGGAAGTAGGAAACCACTACGGTACGTGCCTTCACGGATGACAATAACGATTATCTTCTGCAATATGTTCCCAATAAGCAACCAAATAATGAAATTTTGTTTTGGAATAGAAACTCTATTCCAAACTATGTCAGGTCAATCTGGTTTTTCATGCTCCCCAATGAACCAGTTGTATCCCTGATCTGGACAGTACTCCCCAACCAGTGGCATTCCCTCAAACTCTTTCCTTATTTTAATATACTTTAATAACAACAAGCATCATATTTTTGTCCTTAAAAAGCATCATATTTAGGAATATAATCCCAAAACCCTGAGTTTTAATATATCTACAATGAATCAAATGAGCCTAAAGATTATCTTTCTTATTGGCTAAATCCCAATTGAGATTCATAATCATAGCTTTATTCCAAGCACACAGGTTCTTAACCCCAAACCCCCATTCCTCTTAGGCAAGCATGTTTCCTCCCAGTTAACAAGTGAGACTCTTTTATCGTCTTCAGCAGCTCCCCGCAAATAATTTCTACAAATTTCTTGAACACGTTTCATAACCTTACCTGGGATGAAAAAGATCCTAGACCTGAAAGTGACTATACCAATAAGTACTGAGTCGATCAACCTGGGCCTACCAGCATATCAAAAGTGTTTAGTTTTCCTGGTGATTTTAGCAGACTTCTCAATGAGTAAGTCAGAATCTGTTGTACTTGTTCTGCTAGATGTGATAGGACAACACAAATAGGTGAATGGTAACTTCCCTTAAGACATGGTTAGTGAGACTAATGAGTCTCTGTTTCTCCCTATGATTTAGACCTGCAAAAACAATTTGTGATTTATTTTGGTTAACAGAAAGTCATGTGGTCTTCTTAAAATGGTCTAGATCCTGCATAATACACTCAATGTACTTTTCATCAGCTCTGCTAATAACTATCAAATCATCAGCAAAATAAAAATTGATCAACCTGAATGCGGCCATTTTAATGTTGGGTTGAGTGATTTTTTTTATAAAGTCTTTTAAAAAGTATAGACTGCAAATAGGATGCTAATTGCCAAATAAGATTGGCTAATAGATGTGTTGATGGCTGACGATGAAAAAAGAAGTGAAACACAGACGTTCTAATGTGATGTGATTTTTTTTTAAGCCTCCCATTTCAATGAGACCATGTGAGACATCTACAGACCATTTTAAACTGAACACTGTAACAAGTGCATTAGGATGCTAAACCAATTTTTATTGTTACTTGTGAAGCTTAAGTGTTTCTTTATCCACTTATTTTGTGTCATGTAGTTTGGCTACAAATCCTAATTAGTCCTTCTCCTCGAGGTTTGAGTTATTGCTATAATTCTCAACCAATCAAACACCCTTGTGTCACATGGATGGGCTGGCAGAAGTATACCAACCTTTTTTTTAATGCATTAGTGCCAAAAATTGAAAAGGGGATAGACCTTGGGCATACAAAGCCTGGTAGTTACTATGACACACATTGTAGGTATCTAAACCTTTTCTTTCATTGAATGCAGCTTCAGAAACTTGTTGCTGAGAATGTCCTTGCTTTCAATGAGAGCTTTTGGATGAGAATAGCTGCTAGAGCAGATACCTGCATCTCTGAAGATGACAAAGTATGGCTCCACACTCGATAATTCTCTGCTTGATGAAAAGTCTAATTCAGTTCTCACCAATTTGAATAACCCTTTTTCCTATTGCATTCCCAGAAAGACCTTGAAGATCTAGCATCATTCATAATGAGCATGGTGGATCGTATTGTGCATAAGACACATGTATGCTTTCTCTTGCTTTTAAGTACCTGTCCGATTCCATTAATAAACAAAAACGAAGAACACTTACCAATGGAACAACATAAAAGTAAATTGTTTTTCATGTTGTTTCTTGATCTTCAATTTCCCTTCACTGGCATAAAATAACACAAGTTGGGTTGGTAGTTTGCAGTTTATTTCATATTGCGAGCCACTGTAACGCTTCTTGGATTACCTTTTTTTTGTTCTTGTAGGAAAACATAGAGTCTGCTACTGATGTTCTTAAAGCCATCTTAAGACCTGTAGTTCATGAAACGCAGGACGTTGTTTGGCCTCCAAGGGATCCTGAAGCTCTCAGCCTTATGGAGAAAGTATTCTTAATGCTTACCTTTTGTTATGCTTAAAGGATACATCTGTGTTGTGCAGCATTAATGTACATATATTCTTCCACTCTCTCTTATTTGTGGGCACTGGGCAGTGGTTTGTTTTTGTATAATCTTAGATTGCATTAAATACTTGTCATCATTGCTCTCCTTTTCCATTAAATACATCTCTTTATCTCGTTGACTTGTTAGGAATTAGGAATTGTTGATGTGATGCCATTAGTTTATTAAGAGTTTGCATATGAGTGTATGACAATGAATTTACAAAAAACCTATGGGGGAAGCCAAAGTATGCTTCTTGTTTTTAAATGAAATTTTCCCTCATGAAGCCAGGCAATTAAGGTGTGCACATTTGGTGATTGGATTTGCACACTAGCATTATTATAAAGCTTACGAGTTGCAACCATTTGTAAAACATTGCACCTTAGGTTATACGGGCATCTATGTTGTGCTAAAAGAGTTCACAATATTAGACATCACAAGGACAACAGACACGGAATGATGGAAAGAATTTTGGCATTCACACTTAGAGTACCATATTCCTTTCCTCTTATAAAGTTAGTAATCATGTTTGTGATTTTAGTAGGTTTGATATCTTCTAGCTTTCAGGAATTAAACCAAAGGGAACAAGAAGGCCAACTAGATGAAGGGTTCCTGTCAGAAGTTAATGCACAACTGCGGAATGTAAGATTCTTGAATTGAAACTCTGCTAATTACTTAAGTCATCTTATGTGCTGAAATATTTGGCTATCATTATTTAGAACTGGACTTAAATCACTTGATCGTTTACATTAGTAGGTGAATGATCAACACATAGGGGGTGTTTGTCATCACATCTATGAATCACTGACCTTCCAAATCTCTCCTACAGAGCCACATTCTGAAGAACCCAAATTATGAGCTTCTAAAGAACGTTGTTTGTTCCTAAAAGACGTTGTTTGAAAAATAATACTGCAGTGATTCGTTGGAAATAAATTGGCATCAATTCTTTTGTGCACTGCAAACACTCCGGTTACCGTTTGCAAACTTCAAAATTTGGGGTGAAAAGCAATCGCAAACACCCCCAAAATTTACCGCAAGCTGTAAATGAAGATTTCAGAGTGACCAATATTTTTGGGTGCAAACATTGCTTTCATCCTAGGGTTGTTAAACTAGTTTTAGCAATACTTGTTTTTATCTTTTTTTGGCAAAGAAAACATTGAATTCAATGGAAGTTAGAATCTTTTGTTGCTACATGACATCTTGTTTGAGGATGTAGGGAGTATTACTTAAGCTACATCAATCTGTCATTTTTCTTTTCTTTTCTTTGTGTGTGATTGAAAGATAAGGCTATTGTTTGGTGAGCACTGAAGCTGAATGAGCTAGTCAAAATATGTTCATATACTCCGTATGCTTTAATTAATTTTAGGCAATAGAAGATGGGAGCAAGCCTGGACTTCAAGCTATGCTGCAAAGAGTTCTTCAGCTCTATGCTTCCAGAGTTCTCTCTAAGCGTAGTTATGCACGAAAAGGTGAATATTGATTAGTTTGTAATTACTGTTCCATAGTTTTTTTACTCCCTATCATTCAGTATCCGAATCTCAGAATCTTCTTTAAGAAAATCAAATGTATTGTACATGTCCTTTGTGTTAGTCTTCTTAGTCGATTGCTTGGGATTGAGGTTTACCCTTCTCTTGGGCAGGGAATGAGGTTCTAAAAGCTGAACAGTTTCTAGAGACAATAATTAAAGGTTTCCACTCTGCGCTCTGATCTAAGCTCGCTATCCAAACAAACCCTAATTATCTTGCACTTGTTAAAATGACACAATATGGACTACTGCTCTGTTAATGTAGCTCCTGAAGAAGAATGGAATAGGCTGTTGAGGGAGGGCATGACTGTGGGCAAAGGTGATATATCACCAGAGGAATTGCATTCGGCTGTTAAGAAGCGAATAGAGCGAACATTAATACGGACGGTAGGCAAATACCCTCTAGAAGTCTTTGCTGTGATTCCCTGCTATGACATTTTTTCTTTCTCTCTATTTTTCTCAGCAAGGTGGCTCTTACGAGCAGCGAGTTCTTGTGGAGTATTTGAAAGGCATTCAGTCCAGAGTCGAAGAAATCGTCCATGGGTAAGACTGAGAGTTGAACAATACCATCTTTATTCGCTTGAGATGTACTTAGGTTCAAAATGTTCAAAATGAGAGCTTTGTGGCACATATTAATCCTTCACTTTTACGGAGTAATTAATTCCAACCATGCTATGGGTACTCAAAGAGTGTACCTCAAAGTGTACACCAAAGATATGCACTAACATTTCTATGGTTCACACTATCAAAATATGTTAGTGCAATAAAAAAATAGTGCACTAGCATTTTGTGTTAGTGTGAACCATCACATTGGCGTCACACTATCACAAAATGAAGGTGCATTTATGGTGTATAATTTGGGGTACAAACTTTGGTGTATAAATAACTTAATTAATTTTGTTCACTTCATGGCTTGCCCTTTTTCTAAAGGCATCTCTTTTTATTCCTTACTGATCTCACATTTCCATTATGCAGTTCTGCACATGCCATATTGCCATGTGAATAAAAAGGTGTTGGGTCGTTTGGCCCAATCAAATTGTACTTTAAACCACATTTCCTCTGGACTAAGGCAAACTTGAAATGATGTCAACTTTTTTAGCATAGGATCAGCTTGTTTTGGTCCTAGTCTTATTTTGTGTGAATGATTATGATCTTGTTCTCAAAGAAACTCGCTTTCTAATAAGAATAATTTTAGCCATTCAAGTTGATTGGATTCTGTTTTCTTTGTTGTGATATTTTTTTATTCAATATATTTTGGTATGATATTTTAAAAAAAATCATGAACGATTAAGTCCTTATTTGAAGATTGGCTGTTGGCTATTGGATTTAGTCCTTGTTTGGAGATTTAGCTTTTTTATAAGAGTAAATTCCATAAAAGGTCTCTAGTTATAGGTCGTTTTACATATTAAGTCCCTACATATCAAATATTACTAATTTAGTCCCCAATTATTATATCATTTTTCAAGAATAGTATTTTGTTAACGTTTTTTGTTAAGAACATGGACAAAATTGTATATTCATACTTCTCTCTCTCCTCAATTAAGTTTCCTTCCTTCTTTCATACTCTTTCCCAAACTCATCACTGAGTTTGAAGCTCTAAACCCAAAACTGAAATGATCATTCTTCTATTAATTATTAGTCTTCCTGGTGGAACCTAAAATCAAAACCAATAAGCTTTATGGATGAGTTTTATCAGTTTGTTTCAAGAAATTACAAAGAAGGTTAATGGTTTCGAATTTGGGTTCCACCAGTTAGACAAACAATTGAGAGAAGAGTGATGATTTCAGTTTTGGGTTCAAAGTTTCAAACTTAGCGGCGAGTTTGAGAAAAAAGAGTGCAAAGGGAGGGATGAAACTTAATTGATGAGAGAAAAGAGTGTGAACTTACAATTTTATCCATTTTCTTAACGAATGTTAAGAAAGGACCATTTGTAGAAATGAATATAATAATTGGAAACTAAATTAGTAATATTTGATATGTAAGGACTAAATATGTAAAACGATCTGTAACTGGGGATCTTTTATGTAATTTACTCTTTTTATAACTTCTGGTAAAGTAACCACCAAGATGATAATTTTGGGGGAGAAATATATCAATGATGATTTTGTAATATGAAATGGTGCGTTCGATCTTGAAAAAAGAGAGAAGAATTACTCCATTTTTTTGTGCAACTCCTTATTTCTTAATTAAAAGCAAACCATCACTTTCAAAAAAACAAAAATTAAATGGGTGGCACCGTCAACATTGGGAAAATGTGAGGGCATCAAAAAGTGAGGGCATCAAAACAAACATCGAGAACGGCTAAGGTCGTGAAGTCACCCATTTTACATCGAGGTTTCAAAATTCTTTTTTCTGTCATATCAGTTTTAATTTATCTCAAAGTTTTATTAAAAATGGGTTTGAAGCATTAGTGCTTCATATTGAGACTTCAAATCTTTAATTTTAACGTTTTCAATACACAGTTTGTAAAATTAAGTTAAAAAGATTTCATTAATGAATTGAATTTAAAAGACAATAATTCATTGAATAAAAAACACATTCAATAAAAAATAAAATAATATTAAAAAATTACATTAATAAAAAACTAAAGCAAGTTATATTTAGTCTTAATCTCTATTTGTCTTCTCTCGAAATACATACGTTTGAAGCCGTTAACGTATCAAGGCCGATTTTCATTATTTCGAACTCCTCCTTCTCTTGCTTTCGTCTCTCTCTCTCTCTCTCTCTCTCTCTCTCTCTTCTTCCCCAATATTGAACACCCGAAGTTGTTCAACCATTGCCCGGTCAATATCGTCGTGAGAAGAAACAAATTTGGACACTGTAGAACCGAGGTAATGAATTTTGCCTTCTTCCTTCTGATCAGCCGTGGAATGGGGTCATCGTCATCGGAGTCATCTAGGTTGAACGGAAGCCTTTGTTTCGACGAGCCGATGGTGTCATCTGCCTCAACCTCGGTGGAGGATCTTTTCTTTGACGATCTGGCCTCGGGAGCGTTGAGTTGTTGCCATTTTAGTGAACGACTTAAAATTCTTCAAAGATCGGCGGGGACCTTGCCTTGGTGTTTGGTCTTGATATCGGGTGGTGGCTTCCCGTAGAACATCGACATCGTTCGATCGTCCCGCTCTTCCGAGACCGAGAGCATTCCTCGTAAACTCCGATAAACTTTCGGACTTTTCGATTGATGTGGCCCCATTTGAAATTGAGTTAGTCTCGAGTTTGGTAGGAGGCATCCTTGTTCGTCGCCGCAAAGAACTTTTCCTCGATATGATCTCACATTGCATACTTCGTTTGCTCGAAACCTTTAAGAAATATATAATTGGACGAAAAGTTTTTGTAGCACAAATATATAAAAAAAAACATATATTAGACCTGGCAATCGGGTTAATCATTTCGGTTCCGGTTTGGATCTTTTTGGTTCGGGTCTCTTTCAAATTTATGTTATAATCAGTTCGGGTAATTTTGGTTTCAGGTTAAATTGAGTTTGATTTTTCCCCAGTTCCAGTTCAATGGGCACTGCGTTTTGAATTTACAGAGTTCCCCAACACGAAAGATGAAACACGCTAGATGTGATCTTTCACAACGAAGAGGGAATCACGTTCTCTCACAACTTTGGCTTCAATAGGTTAGAATCATTGAAAGGCATGACAATGACTCTTGAATAAGAAGCCATTGTTTTAAATGTATAAGGACCATTATCGTTGTAATGACAATCATTGTCAAGAAATTAGTTTTTGCAGAAATATCTTTAGAATCACATTTAGTCCTTATTGCAATGTGAAATTTACATGGTGAAAATAAAGTAAATATATATTTACTAAGATTACCTTTTTTTCTTGCTCTTGAAGAGACTAACATAGAGAAACATAATAAAATAATTTAATATTAAGAAATATGATCTAAAATTCAATATATATTTAAGATAATATTAATTTATAAAAAATTAGTAATATTATTATATTTAACCTTTCATAATCCCAAAGAATAATTTTTTTGTTTAACTTTAATATGCATACTGAAATCTTGATTTACGTTCTTTTCCTTTGATTAATTAGCACCTATAATGCACCCAAAGAATAGAGCACTAACTAAATATCATATACTCCGTAGTTTAATCATGAATCATGTTGTGTTTATAGCACGGTCATTTGACACACTTAATTCGTTGTGTACTTTAATTTGGTTATTATGACAAATCGAGAAAGATTAAAGATCTTAACCCGCCATGAAGAAAGTAATGCATTGGACCACACTTGGAGTGTTGTGTACAAAAAATTATCCAGAATTTGTAACTTTTCTCCTATTTGTTTTTTGTGTTTGATATGTAAATTATGTAAGACACTGTGATTATTTTTAGTATATGCATCAATATTATTTCCACATGATATGAACAAGATTTATCAATATTCAATTTCATATTATGTAATTGTATGTTATTTATATATTACATTGATTATAATTCCTTTGTATATTATTTTTACTGTGCATCACACGGGTAGAATATAGTGACAGTCTAAGAGCATGTGCAATGGTGAGGCACAAATAGAATGCCACACGGTGATGTGGAACATTTCAATCAATCAAAAATAGTCCAGTCAGCGTGTGGCAAGTGAGTGGAGTAGCAAGTTATGCAGTGACAAGTCATTGTTTTTTTCATTTTTACACTTTTTTTATTGTATTTTAATTATTAAAAATTTTTCCCGAAAAAAATTAATGTACTTTTTCAAATAAATAATTCTTTCTTATATAATTTTTTGTGTGTTTTTGAAATAAAAATAAATAAATGATAAAAAAGGGAGATTATGCCTTGCACATGCCTTGCATATCATGGAGGAATGCCCTTCCCATGCGTGGCAATACCAATTTTAATGCAAATTAATCCTATGTGGCATGGCATGACAGTCTTTAGACTCGCTATTGCCAATGCTCTAAAGGTAATATTTGTCACTTTATGTAAAAATATTGTGTACACATGACATTATTGTACTCCGTAAGTTTTTTGGATTGGGCTACTCTCACCCCGCTTTGTACTTCATTTTGTACCTTAAAAGTTTACTCTGACATAAAACGTAAGTACAACACTGACATAATACTAATTTTACATTTATATTTTATGTCAGGGCAAACTTTTGGAGTACAAAATGGGATACAAATGTCGTGTATAAATCGAATTTTCCAAGTTTTTTTTCATATGGTGAGAGTACATTATTGTACTACCTTCGTCCCATTTTAAATTGGCTGTTTGTTTTTTTTCTCCGTCCCAAAATAAGTTGCCTGTTAGTTGTTTCCGTAAACTTTTAAAAATAAAATACCTAAACTACCTCTAAAATAAGTCAATCTTTTCCACATTATATTCTCATTCATCATCATCCCTTCTAAAAAGTATTAACAATTTCAAAAAATCAACTCTATTTTTAATTTTTCTTAAATATGTCTAAAAGTCAAAACGGACAATTTAAAACGGGACGGAGGGAGTATCTATTTTCCAAGTTTTTGTCATAAGGTGAGAGTACATTATTGTATGGAAAATGCTAGGGGTACACCTTTTGGTGTACCCCATTTGTCTCCCACCCCTTCCATTACCACTTGAATAGGCAAGAAATTTAAAAAAAATTAAGTAAATAAAAATAAAAAATAAATGAGTGGTTATAGAGGGGTGGTGTACAAATGGGTACACCTTTTGGTGTACCCCTAGCATCTCCCTTATTGTATTGTATTTGAGGGTGAGAGAGTCCTCTATTTAGTCATCATGTCTTGAACAACCACCGCGCGACCAAACCCATTCGATCTCTAACTCCTTCCTTTCCCCAATCGAAGCACACCACACCATGAAGATGCAGAAGGCCCAGAAATTGCTCAGAATCTTCGGGTATTCCGGTAAGGATATCGGATCTGGATCGCCGATCGTGGATTGCGCCTTCGACGAGGACTTTTCCTCTTGGGAATTCGTGGTCCCCTCCGACGACGACGACGACGACAACGTCGCCTACTTCTTCAGCGATGAAGACGACCTAGAAATCGGTATGCAAATGGACGGATCTTCCGGCGAATTTCTGCTGGAACAAGACCTCTCTTCCCTGCTTGGATCTCCTTCAGGCGTTTCCATGGAATCTCACTCGCCAGACCAGATCTCCGGCCTGCTTGATGTTGCGTCCGCTGCGCTTGAGGACTACGGTGGCGAGAGCGCGTATGGATCTGAGTATGCTCCTGAAGAGGAAGACGAGGACGATTATGATGATTATGACGTTGATGATGAGTTGGTTCCCTATTGGGCTAGGGATAAGTTCGCGAAGCAGAGGATGAAGAAGCTGGATAACATGGCGCTTCTGAGGATGAAGAAGCCGAAGAGGCTTCCCTACTACTGCAACAAGCCAGGATCTGTGTGGAAGGTAAGGTGATTTGACTTCAAGAGGGGCAAACCTGGTTCTAATTGGAAGATAAGTATAAATGCTAGATTTGAATATTCATAGGGTTATGCAGTATATTTGGAATTGGTTTAATTCTGTTAACCATGATTGTGATTACATGTTCATCTGTTCATTCCAGACGCTTTCTATGATATGCAGTGCAGTGTGTGTATCTCTCACACACTTGGCTTCTTTAATAGTATCATAATTCTATGTCATGTGTCTAATGTTGAAGTTATGGAGTCATGTGGGAGGCCAAAGGAGTCCCATTATTATGCATAATTGTAAGTGGGAACTTTAATGTGTTTATACTTAATAGAACGACGAACTGAAGTTGCTGATCTCTCTAGTCATTTCTGCAAAATGTGTGTTTTGGTAGTCGTAGGTCATGCCAAGAACACATGATTTGGTGTAGAACAATAGTGGTAGTTGCCCAAACTCATTGTAGCTAAGCAAAGGTTGGGTATTGAGTGATATTGGCTGCAGAATAAGATGAAGAAGTTCTGCCATTGAAGTAATTAAACCATTTTCCAGTTCATTCATTATAGTATGCTGATTGAGAATTAAAGTTCAAATCGGTGATGCTTTTCTCATAACAAACTGTATGGTTTGCTACTGAGAAGGCAGGAATTGAAGGATTTGTATATGGTTGTGGTCTCGTGAAGAAGTCCATTTCTGGCACCGAACATAACCTCAATGGTTGAGTTGTCTCTCTTTCAATTCCTAGGCTTGTGCTATTCTTCTTGTTTAGCTGCTCTTTGATACACCTCGTCACCTCCATTAGAACAATTTTTTTTATGTTTTGTTATTGTCCGAGAAACATTGGACGTTCGTCCTTTCTTGTTTCAGCTTCTCAGCAGTTGTAGTGATTGGAGTGAATTGTTTGCAATTTAGTGGACCAATGAGAGTAACATTAGGGATGAGATAACCCGGACCAAATTTGACTATAGGGTCAAGTTTTATAATGTTTTTATTCATTCAGTGATTATTACGATTTACGAGTATGTGTTTATATTTATGTAAAACAATGTCTTAAGTTTGTATATTAAAAAATAGGTTTATGTGAAATGAAAACATGGTACAGTGTATTTCGTACGAAATGTTGGAAATATACGGAGTGCAATTCATTCGAGTTCGATATGACTATATGAGTACTAAAAAAGAGATGTTCCGTTTTGCCCCCCTCATCGAATTGCAGCAAGGACCCTTTTCTTTCTTCCCTGAACTCTCCCACATCTACTCATCGCTCTTTAAACCTTAGGAATTTGAAGGCTCCAATGCCAGTTGAGGTCGTCCAAGGGGAAAACAAACGTCAATTAAACGTTATAAGATCAGTTCAATTGGGGCAACTGTGGTACTTGGATTTGGTTCCTAGCTCCTACTCTTTAACCCCAGTTAACATCCACAGTCTGGGCCGGCTTTAATGCACCCCTACACTTACCTAAATTGCATCCCCCAAACAGTGTTGACTATAGGGTCAAAGTTTTGACCTTAAAGTCAACAAAATTGTGGGAGTGCAATTGGCGGGGTGCTTTGGGACTAGACCGGACTTGGGGCGTTACAAGGGGTTAGGGGAGGAGTAGAAAACATTAATTTTTTTTATCGAAGCTCCGTAGGTACCCGATGTTATAATATGACATCAAAATCTAATGTAAAAAAACGTGGTGGTCCACCAAAACAAACTAAGCTGAAAATATGAGTAGAAAGAAGTTCAAAAAATATACTTCACTATTTTTTCCTAAAAAAGATTATTCTGTTCTTATTTTTACACAGTTCATTTCTTATATCCCTATTAAATTCACAACACCACGAAAGGCAATAACTAAAAGTTATCTCAAATTAAATAAAAAAGAATAAAATCCCAATCCTTTATGATGAGAGATTTTTTATATTTAGTCATCTATTATCAAATATTATATCTCTGATTCTTCATTTATAGGTACCTATCCATTGATATTTTTTTGGTCTCCTGTCATGTTGATGTTAAATTGAAGACTAAAAGTCTAATTTCACGATTATAATAGATCTTTCTTGTCATAGCCAATGCCAAAAGTCGTTGTTGATGCGTTATTTGTAAGGCTATCTGTAATGCTTTACCACCGCTCACTTCAAATCAGCAGTCACTCAATATCACATCAACATTGATTGTACTCAGCATCTCATTCACTTCACGTCTGTAATGCCTCACCACTACTATAATGATTACACTTTTATTTTTTAAATAAATAATTACGAATTTCATTCAGATTAAATTATAATATTAATTTTTTTGTTCTTATCTTTTTGTAAATAATTTTTTTCGTAATTAATTTTATAAATTATTTTTTCGCAATTAAATTTTGTTTGTTATTAATTTTTTTTGTTTTTATTTTTGCGGATGGTCTAACAGGAGTTGCTTTTACTGCAAAAATAGTCTTCAGATGTCTCATCTGGTCAGAATCTTAGTCCACATTTATAGTCATTATTATTTGTTTGTCAAACTGGCATCAAAATACGTTACTAGATATATGGTCGATATAAAATTAGATTTTTAGAGCTTATTTTCTTCAACTTATTCTTATTGGTATCTGATGCAAACTTAGGTCTAGGGTATCTAGACTAAGGCTCCATTGTTGTAGAAGAAAATAGAGAAGGATGTTGTATTGAAGAAGCATAGTGTGTGTATTGAACCCCCTCCCCCACCTCAAGACTCAAGAGTGGTATAAATAAGGGGATAGTAAGTTTAGAGTTTATTCCAAATTTATATACAAAAACTAATGGGCTGGTCCAACAGACTGGGTCATCCAAATAACTAATCAGTTCAGGACCAATGGGTTGGTCCAACAGACTTCAGTATTATACTCCAAATGAAATCAAAGCTCTATTATTTTATGTTCTTACTCATGATTTTCAATGTTTTCCAGTGTAAATATTAAATATTATCCAATTATTTACACATACAAGTATGAAAAATAAAATTGGAAATGGATAATCTTACAATACTAATTTTATGACAATTGTACAACAATGTAATTCGGGCACTTACAGTGCGCGTTTGAATAATTGATAATTTCCGCCTCTTGTCCCGCCATATTTTTTAGGTTTAGAATGATATAGGAACCATCAATTTTTTGAAATGAGTACCGTATGTGTCCCAAATCCCAATTGCATTATCGTATAATTGTTATAAAAAAGTTTGTTGCAAAATTATCCTACCACAATAAAACTAAAGCTTTTAGTAATGTCGTAATAAATTAAGAGGTAGAACATAAAAGAACAAAGTTTTAGTTGCATTTGGAGTACAATTTTATTTATTTGATAAATGGTTTATAGTTATTTAATAATTGAAATAAGAATAATATAAAAATTGAAAGAATTCTTACTCCGTATTTATTACTCCCCATGTCACAAAAAAAACTCACAATTTAACTAGGCACAAAATTTAAAGAAAGCAAAAATATATAGCTGAAAGTAACAAAGAAGAGAGATATATTGTAAATCACCCAAAATTTTTCATAAAGGAAAACTGAGACTTTTTCTGAGATGTCCCGAAAAGGAAATAAAGAATCTTGTTTTAACGAAGTGAGCAATTAAAATAAGAATAATATAAAAAATGAAATAAGAATAACATAAAAATGGACACAGATAATTCTTAAATCATTCCTCCAATAATGGGTCGGAGTTGAAGCTCTAAATAAAGGTAACAAATAGAATTGCATGAACGGTTGAATTCCAAATTTTCAATGTAGACTAAATTACGAAATAGACAAAGGAAACTTAATACTGAATACACACTTGCATAACCTGCGGTATGTCTACATGGGACACACACACACACACAATATGTATATATATGTACAAAACAATAACCTTAGTAGTATGTAGTAGTAGTAGTATGCGGGGAGCCAGTTAGTAAGGCGGGCTAGGACGAGGTGGGGGTGGTGCTTACAGCTGCAACAGTAGAAACCATGGTATCCACTCCACAGATATTGCTGCCTCTGCAGATCTTGTAGTACCCATTCTCTCCCCAATGCTCTCCCCATGAGTTCTTGATGATCCAGTATGGCTTGTCTTTCCCCCGAATCGGAGCGTACCCTGCTGAACCGTAACCCACCAGCAGCACCCCGTGGTCCAACTTCTTCGAGCATATGTACGGGCACGACACTCCCCCGACGTATGTCTGCATGTACACTGCGTTGATAGCCACTGCACACATACATATATATACATCCCAAATGCATGATTGATACAATATGATCACAAGTTGAAAGTTTTTTTGCCAGATCGAAAAAGAGGAGGAAAAAAAAACAATCGGCGAACCTGCAAGAGGACCGTTTTTGACAAGATTGGCAGCGATTTGATCTTCATCAAGGGATACAACACTGAAGTTGGCAACCTTAGCAGCAACCTTGGTCTTGTCGAATTTGCAGGCTTGACCATCGCTGCCTGTGTAAGGGTAGTCTTCTTCCCTCATAAGCCCACCGGATTTCAGTGTGTATTCAAAGGCACTGTTCATTAGCCCACCATTGCATCCAGAATCACAAGAACCAGGTTCTTCGGGATCACACTAAACAACAACACATTAAGCTCCTCTTATTAGGCTCAAAAATCACACAATGTTTCTTCAACACAAATGAATTGAAACCCATGAGAATCAAGAAATGAAAGATCATCAGACCTCATGATCACAATCCACAAGTTGCTGCTCACTTAGGCTCACAAGCTCCCCGGTGGCGAGAAAGTTGGCACCCTCCAATGCTCCAGTCGTACTGAACGACCAGCACGACCCGCAGCTACCCTGTTTTTTTTTATTACAAAATTCCATTCCCAGCAATGAATAATTCATATAGTTGAAGATTTTTCATTGCTCAGCAGAAGTATATACTCTATAAAGTGTTCTAAAAAGAACCAGGAAGTCGATACTCAATAGACAACCCCCTAGCGCAAGGGCAATTTTTAAGGCAATTTTTTTTAACACTTGCCTATTAAGGGACCCAATTAAAAATATAAGGGAGCTCATCAATTCAAAATTTATCCATATACCTAAGAGTAAATGCATAACAGATTAGAATTTAAAAGTGAAATTAGAATGTGAATATACAGTGCTTTAGATTGGATTGTTAACTGTTAACACTATGGGCGTTAACACAGGGGAATCTCAAGATTGGGGAAGGGAAAGATAATACTCAAATCAAACGCATAGAGGCGAACCTGATTTTTCACGGACGTAACGGCACCGTGGTCTCTCCAATCGAAATCTGACGGGAGATCGTCGGTGGGAAGGGTGGGAGCCGTCTGAGCATCAGCCGGGACCCTAAGCCGTCGGTTCAGTCCGAAAAAGTTGCGTCGGAATTCGGACGGAGTCAAATCGGAGAACCGAGTGACGCCGTGGACAGCGGAGGGGTCGAGCCGCTGGTGGCGCTCTGCGCGGCGCACGTTAGCCTTGAACACCGAGAACCTGTAATCGTGCTCCTCCTTCGAGGCGTACGCCTTCCCGAAGCGCTCCTTGAAAGAGACGAATTGGTGTTCGGCGTTCAGTAGGCCGTCGTCCTCCCCGACGACCTGACGGATCAGAATGTCCTCACCGCCGCTGCCGTCGCCGACGGCGAGCTCCAACAGAGAAGCTGTCACTAGGAGGGAGCATAATGAGAGCAGGACAATGGAAGGGAGAGCCATTGGGATATATAATTGTTGAGCGTGCAATGGCTACGGCGTAGAGAGGCGTATGTATATATAGAAAGGCATGGGGGGAGATGATGGATCTGCTGCCTCCATATTCGCTCGGAAGTTTGCTTGGAATGGGAAACAATTCGGGTCCAATACGCGACTGACAAGTGGCGGCATTGAATTGGTTCAAGGAATTGCAGTTGCTTCGCGGGTTCCATTTGGGCGCCTTCCCCTAGATAAAGGCCCACTAAGACGAGAGGTGGAAGAGATTTTTAAAATGGTGCCCATCCTATCTTAGAATCATTCACATCAGATTAGATGTAACCAGATTGAATCAAGTCGATAAGAAATAAATTTAAATATAATTATATTTAAATTAGGTTAGATCCGATCAAAATTTCAATCCAATCAGATTAGAATCATTCATATCAGATAAAGAGAACATTACATTAATCAGCTCCATTGCAATGTTATCGTTCTTTAGCCACGCCTCTCCACTTCAATTTACACTATTCATAGTTTTCACTTTAAAAAAAGTATAGATGTAATAAAAATGAAAGAGTGCTATAAGATACAAAATACTTCATTAATAATAAAAAAGGGAAATTTAACATGCTTAAAAGTTAAATTAAAATTACAAATACTAAAAATTTTAAAAGTGTTTGTAAATTTAGAAAAAAAACAAATACTCCCTCTGTCCCTAAATAAACTTCCACTTTCGTTTTTTCTTTGTCCCCAAATAAATTTCTCTTTTCCTTTAAAAAACCTCTTTTACCTCTTACTTTTTCATACCCTACCTATCACATCATACCTTTTTATTAATAATCTACCTATCACATCTTACTTTTACACATCACATCAAGGGTATTTTTGGAAAGTCAACACAAAAATATCTCTCCCTTAAATCTTCAAAAAGTCAAAAATGGAACTTTATTTAGGGACGGAGGGAGTACTATTCCTTTCCTCCGTGATGAGTTCCCTGAGAAGGTTGATATGAACAACGATGCTCTTTTTATTCATGAAAGTATACATTCTCTCCAACAATGAGTTTTGTGGAGGGGAGGGTGACTCACTCGAAGTCTTCGCATTCTCGTTTACCTTCTTTCCCGTATTCGTTCTAATCAGACGGTTCTGAGTGCTTGGTTCATGCCCAAGAGCGTTGAACTCGTCCTTCGACAGGTTGGGGTTGTCAAACGTGTCGCCCCAGTTCGTTTGAGTACACACGAATCTCGGAGTACACACGTCCCTAGGCCCACCGCTAAATTTGTGGCTCTTCTAAGAAGGTTCCAAACATCTAGGAACTTGGAAATAGGGGTGGGTTCGGTTTTGGCGGTTCGGTTTTCACCCAAAACCAAAGACAAAACGGAAGGTAAATTGACGGTTCGGTTCGGTTCGGTTCGGTTTTGCATAAAAAATATGTAAACCGTTGGTTATTCGGTTCGGTTTTATACGGTTTTTATTTCGGTTTTTTCGGTTTATAAAAGTAGAAATTTATAAGCATTAAAAAATAGTAAAAACACTAACTCGATGAAACAATAACAATATGTACTGTTAGCTTTGGTTTTTTTGTTTGATTTTTACACAAAAATAAAAACCAAACGGAAGGTCATTGTTCCTTTCGGTTCAATTTTACATAAAAAATATGTGTTGAGTGCCCAACAAACATTTAGAAGATTCCAAATACTTCCAGAGAAATCGTATGTAAAATCAATTACGAAGAATTTAGGTTTTTTGGTATAATACTTTCATTTTCATTATAACATCAAAATATTTGTTATGTAAATATGTAAATTACTCGTATCAATTTTTAATGTTAATATAATTCTATTTTAGGATAAGCTATTGGTGTTTATATTCTTAGGTTTTTTCAAAGTTTATAATAATATGGCTTGAATGTTTAATTAATAGTTAAGAAAATAACTTTAATCGACTAGTAATTTATTTGCGTTTATATTTCTATAATTTTTTTACATATCACATATATTCATATAAATAAAGCGAATTATCTAAGAAAGTTCGGTTTATTCGGTTCGGTTTTTAAAAGTAAAAACCAAAACGGAACCAAACACTAACGGTTCGGTTCAGTTTTTTTACATTCGGTTTCGGTTTTTTCGGTTCGGTTTTTTATTAGCTCGTTTCGATCGATTTCGGTTCGGTTTGCGGTTTTCGGTTTTCCCAACCCAGCCCTACTTGGAAACCCTCTTATCCGCTTCGAAAAAGAGGTCCTTATCCTTTGTGATAATTTCGGCGATGTTGGATACACTAGATCACGTCTTCTGGACGTTGGAAAATATGCCACCGAAGTGCTATACATCGTTCTGCACACACCGTAGTGTTTTCGAAGCATCTCCTGGTCACGTTTGGGTTACCTTCAGACCTCTCGACATTGTACTTCTTCGTAACACGGCCCCAAAATATCTGGTGTTGTTGGTAGTTCTCGATGATGGTATCCTGAGAAACATCGATGTAAAACATCGCCAATGTCAAACTATTCACTGGGTTAAACTTCTTCAAACCATCATTCTTTTTTTCCTTCCCTTTGCTCTAGCCTTCGGTGATATATGGGATCCATTTCGGGAAGCTCGCAGTGGTCCGTATTTACGACCAACTGTTGGTAGGGGCTATCGTTTGACTCCGTAAATGGACAGGGAGAAGGGACAATGTCGTCACCCATATTTGCATACCCCTATGTATCAATGTTCATGCCTCGCGAATGGGAAAATTTAAGCACCACATCAATGTCGTTTCGCTCGAACAGGAAGCTATCGGCGGAACTCATTTTATGAGTGATATGAAACTGAAAGTGTGATACATTGAAATTAGAGAAATGGTGAATTTATTGAGTTGAAATGAAAAAAAGAAAGTTGAAAAAATAGGAAGCCCCCTAGTGGCAGGGCAATGCGCTACAATGGGCATCCCTGCCTGCGCCACGTACTCGCCTAGCCTTAGCATCTCCGCCTTCCGGCGCTTGCCGCGGCACTAAGCAATCCCGCTGTCATGCAATTAATGGTACCCCGCTACTTGCCTCAACCCTCCCAGCGGCGTGGTGAGTCTCCCCCGCCTTCTCACATTGTAAATGCTAGCTCTAAAGCCATGAAAGTGCAAATCTCGTCAATCCATGTTAGGATCGATGGAGACCCACCCTTTGTTTTAGGCTGTAGGGATTATATTAAGTAAATTCTTATTTGAATTTTGAATCTAGATTTGTGTTAGGTTGTGTATGGTCCGAGGTGACTTTATCATACTCGAATTCGTTTAATTTATTGAATGTCAGATTTAAAAACAAAATTTGACGATGGTTAAACTAAGAAATGTATTTGTGTTTGTCAGAAAAGGATATATTCATATATGTGTATAGATATGTTTATATCCTCATCATATTCTAATTTGGGGGAAGGGAGCGGATATTTGCATATGATTTTCGTTTTTAGTACTACTAACTATTACCAGGAGTACAATGTAATATTTGTTCATACATACATTTTCAATCTATTGAAGCGCATAGAGTCAACGCTCTGGGTTTGAATTTAGGTGAACTTACACTAGCTAAGAAAGAAGTTCATAGCGCTACAGCACTCCGCGATTTTAAATGGATGCTAACATTTTTCATATAAATAAATACAGATGCGACGAGTAGTCAAAATTTTGGTTACCCATTTATAGCCTCAAATTCATAAGAGAAATACGAAGTATGATTTTTCTTGTATTTTCCTCTACCTTAATAAAATTAAAACTGATGTTTCGGTTACACATATTACAACAATTTATAAAAAATACAGAGTATTTGATTTTTATTTGTTTTTAGAATTCTAATGAGGGTGGAAGATGAAATCAGGGCGAGTAGAAAAAATGATTTAAATTAAAAGGTAGGGTTATTATAGTATTTTTAGTATGTTAGACAAACAAAAAATAAAATAAAAATGTGACTTTAGATTTGGGTCGTCAAATAAGAAAAATGTGATTTTAGTTATGGACTTTATATATATATATATATATATATATATATATATATATATATATATATATATATATATATATATATGAATAGAGTTTAGCTTTGACGCAATGCCAACTGAAGTTTGTACGTAGTAACATATCACGGAGTATTATTATTGATTATGATGACTTGGACAGAAGACAAAAAGCATGATTAATATTTATTCGAACTATACTACAACCTAATTGAAGACCTTTTACTCAGTATTCTCGTGGGAAGAAAAGTGGATTGATTTCTTTGATGAACGTTTTTGAATGTACCGTAGAATGTATGCATGATTGGTGGTTTTGTGTTATTGATCCGGAGTAGTTGGCTTTGTTAGAATTTAAATTTTTTTGAGTCTATGATTATAATTTTAAGTTTTTAGTTTAGTTGATTTTTTGATATTGTAACGAAATCTTCTGAACTAAGAGATCGCAAATTTGAAATATACTACTTGCACATGAGGGGTATGTATAATGACTTGGGAAGACGATGAAAACAGACAATTTTAGAGCTTAAAAGTGAATTTTAAACATTTACGGGTTAAAATAAAATGTCTAAACCTTAAGGATTCTTTTTAATAACCAATTGGGAGAAAGATCAAAGTAGGATTAAAATATTGAAAATATACTAAAATAGGACATCCATGTTTTTATTCTCGAAATAAGACTTAAAATGCATTTACATTACCAAACATGGTCATGTACATTACCAAAAAGTATAGTAATGTGCACATGTACCGTGTCACATTACCACAGTACGAATTCCTATTTTGAAAAAAAAACATGAAAGTTCTATTTTGGTATTTTTCTCTATGTTTTAGTTCTATTTAGGGTGATTTCTATAACCAATTCAACTTTCAATATGCACCCAATGCTAGATGTTCTCGTACTTTATTACTTCTTCATCTCAATTTAAGTTACTTGTACAGTGTTTGATTGAAACTAATTTAATTTATTAAAAATTAGTATAGAATTAAAAAAGGCATTTTGTATGGGGGCAGTTCAAGTGACATTGAGAGTAATGTCATAGGATGACTCGGGCCTCTTACGGTACTCGTTTGAAAAATTGATAGTTGTTACCCCTCCTAACGAAACACCAATTTTTCGAATGATGGGGAATAGAAATCACCAATTTTTCGAACGAAACATTGTAAGAAACCCAAGTAATCTTAAGACATTCGAAGTGAATATCACTTGAACCGGGCCGATTTTATATATTGTATTACATATTCTATAAAACAAGAGTTGACGTAACAACATTATTGTATCAAAACAAGTAACGAAAAGGAGATAGTACTATATACATGTATAAACAATCATTTTCAGGTGTGTGTGTGTGTGTGTGTGTGTGTGTGTGTGTGGTGATTCTATCCTATCTGTACAAATATACCCACCTTGAAGGCGTGTAATGAAAAACAATGGCGAGCTGCATAAGAAATGAACTGAACTAGCCTAACATTGATTATCATCTCTACAATTAAGCGAGCGTTCTTTTAACGAAAGAGATTCTTGATGCATCTCCGCCTATCTCCTCAAAAACAACCACCACGTTCCCTGTCGGTTTTAGCCAGGAACGAGGAACGTGATACCATCGCTGAGTAGGCTGGCCGCAGCCAGACTGGCACTTTGGTGATCTGTATGCCCCTTCATACCGGCATGGCTCACAGTCCCCAGCTGCTGTGATTGTCCAATACCTACCAATGCTTTGGCCATTGATCCATACTTCACCCTTCACCATACTGCCCATGTCCAATCCCAACGGCTCATTTCCTCCGGGGCTATTGAAATAAGACTGCAAAGAAAAGGAAAGATGAATTTGACGTTGTCACGAAATGTCAAAGTAAGCAAGACTCTAATGATGCGTGTACCTTGTACCATGTCAGAGGCTGCGGTTGTGCCACCTGTAGGGACCCTTCAACCCAATGAACAGATGATGTTCCTGTCGGTGAAACCAAGTTCATGGCTTCGCCTTGCAGCCCGACCTGATACGACCATTTCTGTGTAGATAAGTCTAATGATCCCACATTGTCTAATCCGTGCAGTCCCACAGGTCCTACGATTCCTGTCTTGCTTGTCTCATAATGTGGACCGTCGTTCTTTAAGCATTAAAAAAAATGAAGGAACCAAAGCAATTTAGAGAAAATGTATCATTACATGACGGGGATAGTTAAATTGTGGACAGAGGAGCGAACCCACAATCCAATAGCTACACTGAGCAGAGAAATTTTGTTCACTCCAGGCTGCAGGCTCACTCTTGCTGTAAATGTGAACTGTGGGTGTTCTTTTGTTCCATGAGCTGACCCTGCCATTCAACACAATCAGTGTTTGGTTAATTACCACCACTTAAAATGCAAAGAAATAGGTAAATAAAATGGGTTTAGGCAAAATAAAATGAGTTTGATTAAATGTTCTATTTCCCCTCCCATACTTTCGGCAGTTTTTCATCTAAATGAACCTAAAACAGACAATATGGAACCTGAATATTTCCCGTTGATGAAGACATGTAGTGCATGGCCCGCAGAGTTCACTGCAAGAACCGGTTGTTGGCCTCCGTTTGAACTTATCTCAACACTGAAAAGTCATTGTTGCAATGCACAATCATCAATTCATCATAGTACTAATAGGAGGTGTAAAATGCAATAGTCATGCTCTAAACTCTAACTTTGTTTGAAAAATGGCTTCTTATTCCCTCAATGGAATAAGTGGTCCCCCGGGACTTGGGTGTGATACCCATGTTTGGAATAATAAATATAAAAAAAAGATAAAGGAGATTCAGTTTCGTCATAAAATCCCCATCCATATACCATGACTATCATTCGAAACATAATTTTATCTGATCCCAACCACCAGATCATTCCAAACACGGCCTAAGAAAGGCACCCGTACCTGGTGATATACCAAAGGTAATCACTGCTATCCCTGGTGACATCTAATTGCTCCAACAGACGATTAACGGTAAGCTTTGAATCAGTATCCAAATTAGATATGTCTTCGGTGAATGTTTCCCAGGAGAGTGTAGGCATATCAGCAGGCAACATTTGCACCTCAGATGTCTTCACTCCAACCTATCATACCTCAAAAAAGTATTTTAGCCCTTTCTCATTTAAGCCCAAGATATAAACACACGATTTTTGTTGCCAAACACTTCTTTATAAAATAAAAAGTATCATATAAAAAAAAGTGATGAAAGGGTGTTCGCGAACCATGGCAGTGTTAAAAACAGCATTTTTGCAATCCGGAAGAATGCTGGCTGACCAAGGTGGAAGCTGATAGTGCATGTTATTGAATGTCACAGTGGCTGACGAATTCAAGTGGAAGTTTGATAGAAAAGCAGCACAACCTCCGGACGTGGAACTAAATATGTGTGCCTGTAAATGGAGAAGACATTGAAGAAGGAAGTTAGTTAGTGGTACCTGCAAGAGAAAGGAGAGATAAATTTCATAAAAGCAGATAAAAATGCAATTAATCTATAATCTTGTGTGGAAGAGAAGCAGGGATATAGGAAAAACCTCTTGGTAGCTTCCTAATTGTATGACAGTTTGATTAGCATTAACTAAAGCTCTCTCACTTAGCTTAATAGCCTTGTGAAATTCCTTCAAATGGTCATACTTTGGCTGTCTAGTTAAACCTATTCCAATATGAACAAGAAAAAACCACTTGGTTAAAATCAAAACTTATGTTTCTTTCAAGTGATTGCTTTAGAGTTATTATCTTTGGTCTTACCGTATTCATCAATGGGAGCATCATAATCATAGCTGGTGGTAAGAAAAGGGCCTCCGGCGGTTCTCCCAAAATTGGTTCCACCGTGATACTGCCAGTTCAGTTATTACATTCCAATAAGAATTAAGTGCCTGTTTAGGTGACCCAAAAACCATGCCGCAAAAATGTCACTGACCATGTAATAGTTTACAAAGGAGCCTCCTTTTTGGATGAACCGGGCCACTGCAAAGGCCAGGTCTTCAACTGGCCTATGGTGAATCGCGGATCCAAACTCTTCAAACCTTAACAAGCATAAAATCAAGGGGAAAACATTTGACTTCACATATTCTCCATAGTAATGATATTAGGAACATGTTTTGAGAAATTACCAGCCACTCCATGCCTCTGTCCACATTATGGGCTTGTAAGGTTTGTTAGGGGTAAAATAATCACAATAAAACCCGTTACAAGTATTTATCTGTGGTCAAAAGTGAAAACAAGGAATGGGTTTTTGTTAGATCATGCATATCATTGTGGTCAATGCACAAAAAACACACATATTCAAGGCAAAGATCTTATTTTTGGAAAAAAATCCAAAATTTGTGTTAGCAAAAACGATCTTTTTCTCGCCCCTTATCTTTAGAGAGAAGCTCTACCAATTAGGCAAAAAACACATCCATGTTATAGCTACAAATATAACGATGATGAAGAAGATAATCAGTTGTGATCAGCCCTCAACGGGAGACTAAACTAACACAAAGAGTATAAAAACACGGCTTACCACCGGATCCGGCGCATCATCTTCCTTACACATAACCCATGGGACACCAGTATTAAGATTGACGGCCATTGTTGCAGCCCAAGTCATGTAATCATGGCCCGCAGCCCCGTACGCCTTGCTTGCTAGGCCATACTCATTCTCAATCTGTGTCCATTTTTTTTACTAAGCAAACAGTACCCAGTATTTAAATTCCCCAGATTTCTTAAAGGAATCCGAGAAATTTATCCTTTCAAGTAATCCCATGGAAGTTTAAGGTAACAAGTGATATACATAAAGAAGGAAACTTTACCTGAGAGAGAATGATGGGACCACCTTGTGACTGGAACAAGTTTTCATCTTTCATCATTTGAACAATTTTCTGGACAAAACCTTGCATCGCCCTCTAAATGAAATAAAATAAAATAAAATTGAGGTTGAGTATTACAACGTCTAATACCCAAAAAAACAGATATTGAATTGAGACAAACAGACAAGAAAGACCTTGAAAGGTTCATTATTGGATCTGAAAGTTGAACCAGAGACATATTTTAGCCAAACAGGGATCCCCCTGTAATAAAAATATTTAATTGAAGTTTGAAAAATGGAATTTTAGAAGGAGAATTTCTGAATATATCCAGAAATAGAGATGAGAAACTACCCAAACTTCCACTCTCCACAGATAAAAGGCCCAATGCGGAGATGCACAAACATCCCCGCATTCTGGATTAGCTTTACGAATCGAACTAAATCGTTTCTTCCCTCGAAATCATACTAAACCACAATAAGAAACCAAAAACAAAAAGCACATCAGTAATAAACCACAACTATATGGCAAGAAAAACCAAGAAAGTGACCAGAAAAATACATTTCCAGGTGTGGGTTCATGGATGTTCCAGAACACATAGGTATCAATGGCGTCCAAGCCACCGTCTTTGGCCTTCTCTATGAGGTCCTCCCACATCTGCAGCATAATGCTTTCAAATACAGACCTTCTAATAGCCTTTAGCTAGCCCACCAAATGACCAAAACCAGTTTTTTTTTTAAAAAAAAACAAGAAAGTTGAGAACTCTAATAATACCTCAGGAGTGCTTCTTGGGTAATGAATGGACCCAGAAACAAGAATCCTTCTTTGGCCATTGATGATGAGAGATTTTCCGTCATAAGAAACTGAGCCGCAATGAATGTGCTGAAAAGTGACCAAAATCAACACTAAACGCAGCAAGACCCATTCTTTAGCTGTCATTTTCCTCTGCTTTGAGGCATCAAATGGCCACTGACACAAGGGCTCAGAATGTTTGGACAAAACACCCAAAACGCCTTCTTGCCTGCCCGTGACTCTCTGGGAAAAAAAAGTATATTTTGCTTATTCGTGAAACTTTATTATGTATATGTATGTATGTGGATGTGTATATATACACAGAAAGAGAAAGAGAGAGAGAGAGTATATAAAGCATGACCAGAAAGAAAGAAAGGAAGGAAGAAAGAAAGAAGTCTATCACAATCTTGAAGTAGTCTAAGTGTGAAATGGCGTTTTGATAGTGGGTTGCACAGCCCACGCTTCTTCCTCTAACTCCGCCGGTTACTAATCGTCTTTTTTCAAACAAAACATTTAACTGATAAAACCCGAAGAATCAATTGGTCTGTTACGCTAATCCTCTTTTCAAATTCAGATCCACCTTGTAGTTGTAGCACAGTACGGGGCTCTACGGCGCATGAGTAATCTTGACTTAAATGCTTGAATTTGTTGTTATTATTCCTCTTGTCCCGTAAAAAAAGCTTACTTGTTTGAAGATTTTAACCTATTTATACAACAAAAATTGTACACCACTTTATATTCCGAAGACATGTATTGATATTTTGTACTAATATAATCCTAGTGTGATAGTTTACATTTATATAAAATGTCAATTTAAATTTTTTTTGATTGAACTAGAATTTTGTGACAGTATGAACATTTAAAATACCGGTGTAATCCTGTGGGATATAACTTGGGCACACTTTTTGGTGCTCCCCTTGCATGGTTGTTGTTTGAATTGTAATTATTTGGAAAAAAAATGTTCAAAAGTAAAAACATTACGATTAAAACTACAACAACAAAAATGCTAGGGGTACATCTTGGTGCCCAAATGTACATCACCCCCTCTATTGCCACACATTTTGGCATGTAAAATAAAAAAGAAAGAAATAAATAAAAATGAGTGGTAGTGAAGAGGGTAGTGTACATTTGGGGTACATTTTGGTATACCCCTAGCATCCCTCTTAAAACTAATGTATGAAAAAAAGAGATATGAGCTATTAATTCGTTTCTTTAAATGGAAGGTAAAGTTTTTTAATCATAAAATGAACAAGAAAAAATACATCTTTTGGGTAGTGTTTGGCAACTAGCATTTCATTTCAATTCATGCATTTCAATTCTAAAATTTGAAATCTTGAATTTCAAATGACAAGGAGAGGTGCATGGATTTCAAATTAAGCTTTGTTATGAATGAGAAGAATTTGACTCAAATCCAAATTTAAAATTTTTAAGTTTCCCAAACATGTAATTTGAGCAAAATCCGGATTTAAAATCCAAATCCATGTTTCCAAACATACCATTAGGGAATTGAAAGAGTATGGTTGTTGTTCTCGTTGTTAACTCGAGGTAATACTAAGAAGAGGGGTAATCTTACACCAACTCAATTGGTGTGAGATTGTTACACTAATTCAATTGAATCACATACGGTACTCTGACCGTAAAATTAATTATTGTTACCTACGGTAAACAATCATATCCGGCTTGCCCCTAAGGTATCCCCGCATCCTCTCCAATTGCACCAATCAATTTTTGAGTCCAAAAATTGACCATAAAACCAACAAAAAAAATTAGTTGGTGCAATTAGAGGGAATTTGGGGGTGCGTTAGGGGCAAGACAAGTATGGAGATTTGGCGGGGTAGTTAGTGGGGTACGAACTATCAATTTTATAATCGAAACACCATAGCTATTCTAATTGAATTGGTGTAACAATAATGTTACACCAATTAATTGGTGTAAGATATCCCTCTACTCAGAATATTAGAAGACATAAATTTGTAGGGCTAATAGCATGGGTGTCCCCTGTGGGTTACAAAAAGGCATCAAACCCTCTTTGTTTTCAAAAGTTATTTGTAAAGTCCATGTGGTTTCTAAATAGAATACACATGTCTCCCTTACCTATTTTTACAGCCAAAATGACATTTATGTCTTTTCTTTTCATCGATCTTGAATTTTTCCAATTTCATTTTTTTATTATACAAATATATAAAATAAAATATACGCTTCCCATCTCAAATTAAAATTTTCCATAATATATATTTTGAAAAGAAAAGAATTTTTATGGAGAATGTTACAAAAGAAAATGAAAAATAAAATATTATGTACAAAGTAAAATAATAATTGAAAAAGGCAGTGAAAAGAAAGAAAAATATAAAAGACTGTCTTTTTCTTTAACTCCGTATTTTATTTCATCTTTCTGTTCTTCATTTTTTAAAATCATTAAAAAATTATTTTACTTTTAAAAAACAAAATTATTTTACTCCCTCCGTTCTAAAAAAACATCCCCTCTTTCTTTTTTTAACTTCCAACAAAACACTTCCACTTTCTATTAAAAACAACTTAGAACGGAGATAGTACTTTCCAAAATTATTTTTTTGAAAATTAAATAAATGAAACATTTTAATTTGAGAAAGATGGCGTGTATTTTATTTTATTTAATTATTTGTATAACAAAAAACTGTAAATAAAAGAGTGAAACTTGAAGATAGAGAAAAACAAAGGGCAGAAATATCATTTTATGTCTAAAAATAGGAAAGAAGGGGCGTTTGTGCACCATTTAAAACCAGAGAGATTTTATAAATAACTTTTGAGAGTAGAAGGGATTTTGGCGCTCCTTTTATAAACCACGGGGACACGCATGCTATTATCCGTAAATTTGTAACTCTAATAACAATGTTTGAACTTATTTTTGAAAGAGTTTTTAAATGTAGTAGCTAGATTGTCATATATGTATGTTAAATACTCCCTCTCCTAAAATAGATTACAAATTCTTTTAGGGCCTACATGTTGATAATATTTGTTTGTTTATGTATTTTCATTGATTATTTGATAAAATAAAATAATTTTTCAGGCTTGATTTTTAGAGCTTTTGACATAATTTTTTAATATGTAAATTTTTTAATTATTTTTATAACAAATTTTAGATAAATTGATTTTTTAAAAATACAAAATTTTGCCTCATAAATTGAAATTTGTAATCCAATTTGGGAGGGAAGAAGTATTCTTTTTAACTTCTCCATGTCTACAAGTTCAGTAAAGAAAGTAAAGAATCAAAATAAATATATTATGATCTTTAAAAAGATCGAAAGAAAAAACAATTACGAATACATCTATAATCCGTATTCCGTGGAGGAGAACGTCTCCCGTGGGGGTGCCTAGAACTAGGTACACCGGCCTAATTTTATTTTGAATTTTGTAGTGTTTATTCTGAAGCAACGTAATATATATTTTCACACATTTATTCATTGCAATTATAATATTCATTTACGAATAATGTAGTGTTCGATCTGAAGCAGCGTAATATTTATTTTCACACATTTATTCATTGCAATTATAATATTCATTTACGAACAACGTAGTGTTCATTCAAAGTTTGTTCATTAGTGTTCATTCTGAAAGAACGTAGTGGCTTCAAACACAACGACAGCAACAACAATACCTCCCACGCCTCCTCCCACCTCAATTGGGGCAGGGTCGAACCCTAGAAAACCTAGAGTTTGGCCGCCTACGCTGTTGTCGTTGGGTGAAGTCATCGTTGTCTGTGTTTATAATAATCGTTGTTAGGGTTTCGGCCCACCTTGGGTTGTCGATCGCTTCCTTCTACTTCCCACCCTCTTCAATCGCGAACTTCTTCTCTAGCCCAGTTGTAATAATTTTGTGCATGTTTGTACACTGTTGACTTTCAAAAGAGAAGTTTACCTCATTCAAATATCTTAATATGGTTACATCATAGGGATAAACTTCAATCACCGAGTCAATTGATTGTATGATATTTGCATAGGTTCCTAATAAAGACAAAAATCCTAGATTGTATGAGTCTATAACTCGATTGATCATGCATGCTCCCTGTGGCATTGATAATCCTAGATCTCTATATATGAACAATGGTAAATGCATGAAGTATTTTTCCAAAAATATTGTTGATAATACATTGTTTGATGATAATGGCTATCTGATATACAAAAGAAGAAAGTCACCACTCACCACAATAATGAGAATGAATATCAAGTTTACTTGATGTTTCCTTTTGTATGGCATGCGTGCCAAGGTTTTGCATGTAGTTTGTTTTATTTTTGGTTTTCTTGTTGTTGTATGTTGTCTTATATATGCACGGAACCATTACTATGGTTCAGCATTTGACATTGATGTACCGTTCTGATTAGGGGTAATAATAATTTACATTTTACCCTTGAGAATGGATATCAAGTTGGATAATTGATTTGTTGTGTCATACTACCCACAACCCTTGACAAGGTATCAAGATCACATCAATATTGAATATTACAATAAATCTAATTCAATCAAATATCTCTTTAAATATGTAGATAAAATAATTGTTGCAGTTACCCAATCTAACTTTGATGTTGTTGATAATATGGTGTACGATGGAAGAGAGAAGTACTATGATTGTCATTACGTATCTACATGTGAAGCCACTTGGAGAGTCCTCTCTTTTGATATACACCATAGGTGGCCAACAATATTGAGGCTGAATTTTTATCTCCCAGGGCAAAAATTTGTAATCTTTAGAGACAAACAAAAGCTAAAAGATGTCTTCGCAGAAAATTTGTAATCTTTGCATGTTGCATCCAACTGTATTGTAGCATTACTTTTTCTTAGGGAAAGAGCCGCACACTTGAGATTCTTAATCATTTTGTTGCTAACCGAGTGCTCATCGTGTGCCATCAAACAAGAACTAATCGAACAAGCAAGTATAATCATATGGGATGAATCATCTACGATGAGTAGATTTGCTTTTGAGGCATTAGATTGCACAATGAGATATGTAATGAGGTTCACTAATAATAACTCCATAAATTAACCATTCAAAGGGAAAACAATTGTACTGGGAGGTGATTTTATCCATATTCTTTTATTTTTACTCAAAGCTTTGAGAGAGAAAAAAATTATAGGTGCTACCGCCAATTCATCTAAACTATGGTTGTATTGTAAAGTTATACATTGACCAAGAACAAGAGATTGCATTCATCTACACCCTTTTGCACAAATAGGACACACAAGCTTTTTTATTGGATAATCAAAGTCGAAGATGGAAAGCTTGGACAAGTGATTGATGGAACTGTTGACGTTGAAATCCCATCTGAATTTTTTTGATTCATGAAAAAGTATCCCCTCACGAGTATAGGGGACTTCACTTATCCAAATCTATTATAGAACATGAAAAATTAATCTTTTTTTAGGATAGTGCACTATTGGCACCGCACTCGAGGTTGTTGAATGGTAAATGAAGTTGTCCAATCCCTTATTCTAAAAGGTGAAAAAGAGTTTTTAAGTTCAGATTCTTCATGCCAATCATATTCATATGTAGGTGTTCAAGACGATTGGATAACAGTTAGTTTATTAATGAAATCAAATGTTTGCGAATTCAAAACCACAAAATAGTTTTTAAAAAGGGGTACCAATTATGTTATTGAAAATCATTGACCAAAGATCTAGATTCTGTAATGGTAGAAAGTTAAT